CCATCGCTCCAAAACCGTACCCACATCGCAGCGCCGCCACTCACGAATCTCGTTGATGAGAGGGAGAGGGAAAGGGAGCGAGAGGGAGAGGGAGAGGGAGAGGGAGAGGGACAGGGAGCGGGAGGGAGAGGATTCATTTCGGCTTCAAGGTTTTCAGTTTGGGGGAAATAATTTAGGGTTTGGTTGAGGTGGGTAAATTTTATAATATTATTAATAATTTAATTAATACCTGATTTTTGATTATATAAATCTCACACCTGATTTTTGAAATGGAGAACTTAAACACCTGTTTATTTGTAATTTCCTCATTAATTATTAGGAAAACTAGGCCCACTACCGTTAAAAAATAAAATATTAAATTACTACCCTTAAAATTGATTAGAATTATAATTTTTTGTATTAATTACATTGAAATTGATTTTGTGAGTTCTTTGAGATTTTGTCACTTTTTTGAGATTTTGTCAAATTTCGTTTAATAGTCTTTATTTCTCTTTTTACAAGATTGAGAGTTAATCATACCAAATGGATATTGGTTTAAAGGGACATGATATGTCACATTTTTTTAACAAAATAAATAAATGATATTTACGTTTAATAAAGGTTGTTGTATGTGTAGTTTAACATGACAAAAATTTCAATTATTTTGTTACTTTTATATTCGTTATCTTGTTCCTATTTATCTCTATAACAAATGAATACATTAATTTTATCTATATCTGCAAAAAGAATATAAATGAAATAACGTGAGACTTTTAAAAAAAGTGAGATATGTATATTTTAATTCCAAAAAATTAACTCATGCAAAAATACAAATAAAGTGTTATATCGTGTCACCTTTTAATGTAAAGACAAATTTGAATTCATATTCATATTCAAATTTCGATTGTGCTATATGTACATAATAACTTATGTACACACGATGTAGTGAGATATGATTGAATCAAAATTTCTTTAACCAAATTAAAAAAAAAACTTTCCCACTCTCTTGGGACACTTCATGTGCATATAAACCATTATGCAACTCCATGATAATATACAAATAATATTATTCTTCAAATTTTTACGAACACTTGTATGTATGACTATATCTCTTTAATAGATTCTAAAGAATTCAAATGAGATAGACTGCAACCTTTTTAGGAAAAAAGTGACAGAGAATGTTACTTTCAAGTCTTAACATCTTAATTCACATGCAAAAATACAAATAAACTGTTTCATTATATCACTTTATAATGTGAAGCAAGGTTTGAGTTCATATTAACATTTAAAATTTCAAAAACTCACATGTATACATTTATTTAATTGCTCCAAATAAATTCAAATGACATAAACTACGTCCTTTCCCAAAAAGTGATAGAGAATGCCACTTTGTCCACTCTCATTTTCATGAACACCTTGCACACATTATTTGAATTGATCCAAAATTGATTTTTCATATATACTAACTCGATCCAATTCATTACATCATGTTATTTTTTAATGTAAAACAAGGTTTGAATTTGTATTCATATTTAAATTTTCAAAAACACACATTTATGCATCTATTTATTACTCCAAAAGAATTCAAATGAGAATGATTTCAACTTTTCCATATAAAAGTGGGAGAATGTCACTTTTATTATTCTCATTTTCAGAAACACCTTACATACATCACTTGAGTTGATTCAAAATTGATCTTTCATATCTATTAATTTAATCCAATTCATACAAATCTAAATTTTAATATATGGTTACTCAAAATTATTAATTTAAAGTGAAATCTCAAATGTACTAAAAAAAAAAAAACCTCAACAACATTAAAATCAAACAAAATATGAACTAATTGAATTAAAAAAAAACATATAAACTTGAAGATTTGAGTTGATCATTTGCAAATTTGGGTAGTTGAAGTAGCCCTTAATCTTGCTTGGGCTTGATTTGTGCCAGATTTCATCATATGATTTCGACTTTGCTTGATTTGGATTTTGGAGGATTTGGAATTTTAATTGCTGATCCGCCTCTCCTCTTTAAGTTAGGACCGCAGAAATTATGTTGTAATTGAATAAAATTATTGTATTTTCCTTTTAACCCATGTTTGTCATGATTTTTAAAAATGTCCCCAAAATAAGGGTATTTGTGTAAGTGCCCCTTAATTATTCAACTAAAGAACATTAGGGAGACCAAGTTGAAAATCGGGTGAATTAATAAGTATCGTGACATTACGAAAATTGAGTTAAATATTTTCAAAAATCATGCTTAATGTTTTTATGCTACTGAAGTAGATGCTCGACGAATAAGTAGAGTTTAGAGCGCATGAATATTCGGGTGTGTTCAATATTTTATTTTCTGCAAGTTTTTCAAGTTTTTGGGGAATGGGACAGGCAAGATGTATATTCTGACATTGTCGATCAACATTTTCTTTTAAGAATACTTGAATCTTACATTAAAGAGGTATATATTAATTAAGTTTGGGTTAAGGTTGCTCAGTGCATAGAATTAATATAAGATTAATGTACTATGGATATCCAATATCAGAAAATCATCATCCTTATCCCAACATAAAGATTTAAATGTTGAGACAAACATTGACAAATATATATTCATCAAAGTCTGCTAATTAACATACAATATAGTCTTCCTGTCAGGAAACCCACAAACCTAATTGAGCTGGATTAAGAAACTTAAACAAATCCAGTCCTATTCACAGCATAACGTGTGTGTGTGTGTGTATATATGCATTGAATTTGGAAAGTGGGAAGGAATAATCCAGGGTGTTTAATGGAGGACGTAGAGTGGTGGTTTGATGAGGAAGAAGCCGGCTGGTGAAAAGTATCATGTGGATGCATGTGCATTAAGCTTGGAGAACATGCAAAACTTCTCTTACATTCATTCATCCCACTGCCTCCGTGGACCCACGTAAACATGGTTGCCTCGTATGGATAGTTGTTACGGACAAAGTCCTAATTCTTATTATTGAAAATCAGAAATTGAGCAACAAATATGTTGCTACATATTCCATAGTACTAAATTTATTGGTTGTGAAAATACTTTCGACTGTTTCATATGCTCCCCCTCATCGTATTCCATTGACAATTTATTGCGTCGGATAATTTTTCAACAATTTTAGCCTTACCGAGGGAAAAATTCGTCGGTGGATCCGCCTTTTGTATAGGGTTTGTTGTAGGTTTTCAAGAGTACAAAGTAATTTCACGCCTCTTACAAAGACAAAAATCGGTCCTCCTAAAATCTTTTATTTAGTAAAAAATTTAGGACGGCATAATACAATAGAGGACAATGTATACCTCTATTTGATTTAGATAAAAATCATATTTTTAGTGGATTTTGATCAAAGTTAATGATATATATGGTTGAAAAATTGATAAAATTGTGAGCCTTATTAAATATATGATTGAAAATGAATTCGAGAAAAATAATTTTTGAAGAATGAGGATCAAATAGGGACATAGTATATGCCTATTTTAAATATTCAACAAATAAGTTCGTATCAAAAAGACAGGTGTACCATAAGGTCCCACACAACCAACTATTACCAATCAATGTCTCAAATCAAGTATAAAACTCTCATTGTGCTACATCATAGACAACTGAGTTTTCTTCCAACAGCAAAATTTTGGCAAGAGTCATCAAGGGCACAAACAAGTCTTTCAAGAATCTTTTATAATTCTATCATGGGTGTTTCTCAACAGCCTCTTCTTGAATCCCTTGAATTTCTCAACAAATTGCTCAAACAATCCCAAGCCAGGAGAAAATGGTCTTCCCAAGTTAGCAGCATGAAAAGAGGGCATATCAAGAACATAAAATCAAGAAGAATTTTAATGAAGAGGAGGGCAGTTCTGGATCGTTCCCGGAGGCCGGTTGGCCCGGCCAGAAACCAGATTGAAAGGAAGGTAAAAACCCTGAAGAAACTTATTCCAAACTGTGACTCAATGAGATTGGATAGGCTTTTTAGAGAGACAGCAGATTACATAATAGCTTTGCAAATGAGAGTTAAAGTCATGCAAATTATGGTCAATGTATTTTCAGGTTCTGATGACTGATGAGTGACTCATTGATTATAATTCATATATATGTAAAGGTTGATTCCATTTTTTTCTTCTTTGTTCAATTATTAATTTAGTTTATTTGGTGTAATATCAGGAGTTGGTTTTTAACTCCTTTGTTCAATTATCAATTTAGTTTATTTGGTGTAATAGAAGGAGCTGGTTTTTAACTCCAGCTATATGCATGGATCATGCAGCCGCCTTAGATTATATAGTGATCATTCAATTCTTATATTGTGTGAAATTGGCTTTAATTAAAAGGAAATATATTATTTGTTGGATTTATTTCTTTGTTTTCTTTTTGTGGTGTTAATCTTCATATTCTTCAAACACTTACTTCAATTTTCTTTGGTCCATTAGAACCAAATTAATTTTCTATTTTAATCAAAATCCAATAAGAATAACAAGTTGACCAAAACGTCATGTATTTACCTTTTTTTAATATAAATAAAACAGAACTTATTTTTGTAGAAAGTTGGAGTAATTCGAAGCATATTTTAACATGAATTTCTGGTCAAGATACTTATTTGAAATGATGAATTTCAAGATTTTTTGAATTGTTGAATCACCTTACTTTCCAAAACTCCAAATTTGTAATTTTCTTGCACTCCAATGAAAGGGGATTATTAACCATAACCCAAGTGCCATTTTTGTGAGTTTACATACTAAAATAGTGGTTCTAGGTGCATTTCAATTTTGGTGATATGTTCCATACTAATTTTCACATATTTTATATAGTCTTTCTCTCTCTCCATTGCTAGACAAAAAAAAAAAAAGATGTTTTATGAGAGGTTATGTGGAGTTGTGGATTTGAATTCCAAATTCAAATTCCTCCCTCTAACCCTTTTGATGTCTTGTTGGTCGGGTCAACCCCATNGTGGATTTGAATTCCAAATTCAAATTACTCTCTCCAACCCTTTTGAAATGGACGATCTATGACCTATATTTTCTAACAAAAGTAAATTTAACTTACTAGAAAAATAGCTTTTTAACACAACCTTAAATTGATTGAAAATAAGATTTTATTTAGGGCCTGTTTGGTATGGATTTTAATTTTTTATAGTAAATCAATTCTCATTTTCAACCACACATTTTTCAATAAAATAATATTTTTCATCACATCAATAATTTTTTTCTTCTTTTTCAACCACACATTTCCCATCATATCACTATTCAAAAATCAATTCTTCCCCCAAAAATTCCTCACAAACAAGCTATAAAAGTTGTAGTGTGCATACAGCTAAC